GTATTATGGTCTGGCTGTGTCGCTTCAAAGCTGCGTTAGGCAGAGCTGGTTTGCTTCAAGGTTGAACAGATCAACGTTACGGTTTAAATGCTGGTATTGCTAACAGCCAAATATATATTTAAACATCAATCTTAAATCCCAGGAAAGTTAATAGCCCGATGCTGTTTAAATATGCCTTTTTTAGTCGCTTCACGTGCTGACTTAACTCATTACGATGCAAGCTGCAGAAACGTTTTCACTACAGTTCAAAAACCCTTGCAAATAGGAGCCCAGCTCTGCGCCGTACTTTGATCTACACGTCGCCTCTTTCGGCCATTTCCAGGAAGCTGAAATGCTTTTCACCTCTATTGAGAGATACCAGAGAAGCATTTTAATGGTGTTCAGCTAAGAACAACGTCACCGTTCCTTCCGATTTTGCCAGCAGACGGTCCCTGGGAGCCGCCGTGACCCGGGCCCGGTGCTCAGCGCGGGCCCGGCGCTCCCGGCCGGGCAGGGATCGAGCGCCGGCTCGGGCGGCCCCGGCTCCGAGCGCCGCAGCCCCCGACAGGGCTCGCAGCGCTACAATGCCAGCCTGGCACTGTGGAAGCGCTTTGGTTTTGTTGTTGGTTTGTTTGGTTTTCTCCCCCTCCACGGGAACGTGTTCTGTTTTGTGCGGACGGTTTGTCGCTTGTTCTCGACATAGAGCCTGACCCGGTGAGGAGCGAGGGGGGGAGCGAGGAATGGAGCGATGAGCGCAGTTGTTGCGAAAGGCGCGGGCTGCGGTGCCTCCTTCGCGGCAGCACCCTGCTCCCTCGCAGGGAAACAGCCCTGAGCCTCGGCACATACCACAGCACAAGTTGTACAAACCCACGGAGCGGCTGGTGCTGAGCCGCAGGAACTGCGGGCAGGGCGCACCCTGCCCGGCACATGCCGCTCCCGCAGACAGCCTCTGCCAAGCAGCCACTTACCTTCACCCTCCCTCAGAGTCCGCAGGACGGTCCTGCTCTAGCCTTACCAGGGAGGCCACCTCTCTACAGTGTTTGCTTTTCCTCCCTGTCCTGCCCTCTGAAGTGGTTGCTCAAGCCAGGCTTTCCTGGCTCACCTACTCTGGGTCTGCAGTGAGCACAAGCTGCAATTCCCCACAGAGTACAGCGAGGCTTGTGAAGTTCCGAGATAACCCTCAGCCTCCACCCAAAGCGAGCTGCAGCAGAATCTGCTCGGGGAAAAAAAAAAAAAACCCACCAAAAAAACAAACCACAAGAAGAAAAAAAAAAAAAAAAAAAA